ATGTGATTAGTCCTAACAAGATTTTTCTTTTTTCGTTTTTCTTTCTCAATTCATTTTTGAGTGACAGATAGATATTAGTGAAGAAGAGTTTGATAAATAAGAAAGTAATTGTTCAGAAAGAAAAAAAAGAGAAAAAAAAAAAAAAAAATTTAAATTACCATCGTAACAAACACGACGACGAAAATGTAAATAATAATAATAATGATAATAATAAATGTATTTTTTTTGTTAATAAAAGAACATGGAGAATAAAATTTAATTTGTTATTTTTTAATGTGACGTAAAAAAAAAAAAAAAAAAAAACAACCGTGAGAAATTATTTTTAGAAAATTAATAAGAAACGTCGCCATTTTTTTTTCTTTTTTTTCAATCTATCGAAATGAAATTTTGATGAGAGAGAGAGAGAAAAAAAATCAATTCGTATGATAATCGATAAATTGAATGATGAAGAAAGGTGTTGAATGATGTTTGACAATTTAAATTTTATTATCATTATTATTATTTTAATGCTTTATTTGTAGGATTGCACGTGTACGTATACACCTGTCGTCGTAAGTGAAAAATAACAAATACGAAAAATAATTTTTTTTAAATGGAAAAAAATAATTAATGGGGCGCGATTTCGGCGTGATATCTTATAAATATCGTTACAACCATAAATACCACGTGATATATATATATATTTCTTCTGAAATATTATCATTATCATTAATGTTTCGCCCCTTAACAAATTAAAACAACACGAAACAATTAAATTCGATTGAATTTTTTTTTTTTAAATAACATTACGTAACATTTATTTTTTTTCTTCATCTCTCTCTTTCTCTCTCTTTTTCGTTATTTTCATTTATTTCCAATAAATGTAAAAAAAGGAAAAAAAATATGCAAAAACAAGTGAATGTAAGTTCATTGATGACATCAATTTATTTGGTTTTTTTTTTTTTTTAAATGTTCCTTTCAAAATGTTTTTTTTTTTTTAAATGCAATTTTATCATCGTGAAATGGCGGTTTTTTTTAAATTCTTTCAAACGGCATTTCAAGTTTTTATTAAATGTGTTTTCTTTTCTCTCTCTCTCTCTCTCTTTTTTTTCCATTTTTTCCTTTCCCCCCCTCTTTTTTTTTGTTTATTCGATTGTTATTTAATAAACACAACAAAAAAAAAAAATTAAATAAAAAAATTGTTTTCATTCATTCATTCATTCATTCATGTTTTTTTCTGCGTTACATTTCAAATTTTTTTTTTTTTTTAATATAAAAAAAAAAATATACAGCTTATTATTATTAATATTATTTTTACTGGAAAATTTTCATTTCGGTTGTTGTTGTTAACAATTAATTTTTTTTTTTTCATAACAAACAAAAAATAATAATAATAATAATTTTAAACATATGTAAATTTATTCGTAGAGAGTTTATCGAGTATTAAAAAGAAGAAAATTTTTTTTTTTTCATTTTTATAATTCGTTGAAATTTTCATTATAATAGTAATAATAAATTCAAGTATAATATATTTTTTTTTTCTTTTTGCACCAACCACGACGATCGAGTGTACGTAAAGTTCATCGACCTCCCCCCCCCCTTTTTTTTAATATCAATTTAATTAAAAAGGCAACGAAAAAAAAAAAAAAAAAATTTTATTTTTAAAGTTAAATTTCATCGTCGTCGCGTTTTGATTACATTGAGCATAGCTAATGTGAAGTAAAAAAAAAAACGGTCGGCATTCATTTTCTCACATTTAAATTTATTTATTACGCTAGAAATATTTTTATCGTATGAGTAAAAACATCATCATCATCATTATTATATTTTTCGCACGAAAATTTTTTTTTTTTTATATAAAAAAATATATATATATATATATATATATATAAATGAGAGAGAAAGAGAAAGAGAGAGAGAGATAGAATTAATTTCGTCGTTTTAATTGTGTTCATGTATGCGATTCTTTTATTTTCGTTAAAAAAATTGTCACGAAAGCGCGTAATTTTTTTTTTTTTTCTCGTTT